AGTTCTAGCCAATGAGATGTGTGTGTGGAAGTCAGCTTGAGAACAGGAATGAAATACCCCCGTATGAATGAAGGCTGAAGTTAGCAAAGAGAAAATGACTTCTCCTTCCTGAATCTGCCTGCCTTCATGCGGATGGGATAGCTGCAGGTGCGGCAACCATTTTGTGACCCAAAGGGAATAGACAAGAGAATCACAGATTTCAACTCCGATATCAAGTTGATGAACTAATGCCACCAAACTCCTACTCCTGAACTTCATTATGTGATAAAAATGAATCGCTATTTTTTAAATTTTTTTTATTTTTTTGGAACGGACTTTCACTCTTGTTGCCCAGGCTGGAGTGCAGTGGCGCCATCTTGGCTCACCACAACCTCCGTCTCCCAGGTTTAAGTGATTCTCCTGCCTCAGCCTCTTGAGTAGCTTAGCTGGGATTACAGGCAAGCGCCACTATGCCTTGTTAATTTTGTATTTTTTAGTAGAGACAGGGTTTCACCATGTTGGTCAGGCTGGTCTCTAACTCCCAACCTCAGGTGATCCGCCTGTCTCGGCCTCCCAAAGTGCTGGGATGACAGGCGTGAGCCACCATGCCTGGCCATGAATCACTATTTAAGCTACCATATTCAGGTTTCCTGATACATGTAGTGAAACTCATTCCTAACAGCTATGACAGTATAGGTACAGTCTTCCCAGGATAACTATATTTGGAGTGAGTGACACAAACAGAAAAGCTTCTGGTCTATTTCTTATTTCAACTGAGTGCACTGGTTCTCTATTGTATTAACACTGTGTCGTGGAATCAGGACAACAAAAACTGAGCTTTTTATAATCTCTTATTAATATGGATACTTTCAAACACAAGCTCAAGAACCTGTACTTGACTCTGTGAACAAAATTGTGCCATCTAGGTGGTAATGAAGCAAAGTGTGTTTTTTACAAAACAAAATATGAGAGGCTTCTTTCTGTTCCTTCATACCTGAGAAGCTCACCTTTTCACCCACAACACTAATCTGTAACAAAGCCATGTGGCAAAAGATAATATTATTTGAATATACAATCAGTCTACAATTAACCAGAGATGACAATTATAAATAATACTGTGTCCCACAGTTTCCAAGAAACCTGACACACACAGTTCTTGGGTATGCTGAAACACTTCCAAGAAACGTAAAGAAATTTAAAAAAGTCTCTTAGAAGTCTTCCATCAAAATGTGTTTCAGTAAAAATGACTTTCATGATGTGTTTTGGTACATATCACTGAGAAATCATCGGTCCCTATCTTCACACCTCTAATTGTTTTCACTGTCCAATTACAGCTTTTCAGAATTAAGACCTTCTAGCTGGGATAACCACGTGGCTGGCTATTTGAGATATGAAGAAAAGTTAATGTGTATAAGGCTGTGTACCCAAGAAAACAGATCTCCACCACAAGATTTCAATCATCTGGAGCTCAGGTCATGATATCTTTTAGGTTGATGTAAAGCACCAGGCTGAACTTCTTTTCTTTTTTTCCTTTCTCCCAGTTCCTTTCCTTCTTTCTTTCTGCTTTGTCTCCCTCAATCCTTACCTTACACGTATTTTCTGGGTTTAGGGAGTTAGGAGTATTATTATTATTATTATTAGTAGTAGTAGTATTAGTATTATTTGAGATGGAGTCTCGCCCTGTTGCCAAGGTTGGAGTGCAATGGTGCAGTCTTGGCTCACTGCAACCTCCGCCTCCCAGGTTGAAGCAGTTCTCCTGCCTCAGCCTCCTGAGTAGCTGGGATTACAGGCATGCACCACCATGCCCGGGTAATTTTTTTGTATCTTTAGTACAGATAGGGTTTCACCATATTGGCCAGGCTGGTTTCGAGCTCCTGACCTCATGATCCACCCGCCTTGGCCACCCAAAGTGCTGGGATTACAGGCGTGAGTCACCGCGCCTGGCTGGCAGTATTCCTTTAGACAGAAAAAAATGCCCTTATTTTGGGATTCAAGTGATATAAGATGATAGTGCAAAATGTAAGAGGAATTTATCATATATTTTTTACGTCTTTCACTAAACACTATGGCAAAACTTCACACCAATTACTAATCCACATATTTATTGGCCATAGATAATACTGAGTGATTATAAAAGTCTAATAAAAAGATAAGTATTAGAAAAATAACACAATATGCATAAATACATGGTTAATGTGAGAGAGAACATCTACCTTTGTCAACTCAGGTATATAACTGATTTGATATGGTAAGCAATATGGGGTCTTTATTCAATTCCTATGGGTGGGCTCACACACATAAATATGTAATGAGTAACAGTCAAATAATAATTTGATCCAAACTGTAAGCTCTATAAAGGCCGAACTCATATTTTCTGGTTTAATACAATACCTCCAGTACATACCACAGTCTCTAATACATAGCATGTGCTACTGTTGAATAATTACTAATTAAAAGATATAAGTGTGACATTATTATCTCATTTTCATGACTTACACAGACATAGATTGATCATTAATATTCTAGAAATGACACCCAAGTTATTTCAACAGGAAAAGTCAACCACAAACTAGAGTAATACCTGCTTCAAAGAGTTTCAATAATCTCAATTTCATTTTCAGGTGTCAGGGTAACATAAGGGATGAGATAATTCAGATCCTTTGATGGAGAAGGTTTCCTTTTATATTACAAGAGTTTGTCATACTATTATAATAATGAAACTACTTCATTTCCGTAACTTAAGTTTTTCACTTAAAAACTCATAAATTATAAGACTGTAGTTCAAGATGTAACTCAACTGCATTGAAAATACATGATGAAGAGATCCAGGAATGAAGATCTTCTTGAGAACGGAGACATCTTAACTGTCCCACAGGTTTTGGCAGGTATTCTTTCAAAAACAGATTTTTAAAAAGTTGTTATCACAGTACGAAACAGAAAGGAACATGGAAGCAGTAGTTATCAACAGAGGCAACTCTCACTCCTGCAACCCAAGCAGGAGGTGCTAATCAGAGAAATAAAGTATGACTGTGGAGATGGAACGAGAAGTGGCAATAAGGTCGCCTAACAATGGACAAGTATGGAATAAAGTGAATGCAGATGGTTCCACTCCTGTTACTTAATCAAAAGGCTGTGCAGAGTCACTGGAGCCAGCATAAAGTCATGTGTTAGAACAACAGCTGATCTGTATTAGAGAAGATTAACTCACAGTGCCATGGTGGAGGGCCTAGGATTATTTTATGTACTTCCATTGCCTTACAAGCCGTCAGCACAATTATTGCCCTCCAATGTGAATGACTGATCTGTAACCACAGCTAAACAGCACGCTGCTTAGGGGCCTAGGAGCTTCATGAAGATGAATTTCCATACCATCAAAGTACTTTTAATGGGCTCCCTGATTCAACCACAAGGCCTGCTTTGCAAGTATATAGAACTCAGGATGAAGGCTTCCTGTCCAAAAGGATTTGGTCGGTTGTCACTTGACAATTCCCAGCCAGCACTGGAGAAGAGAAGGGGGAGATAGGTAGAGTTGTCTCTGCTTTGGAGGATTTAAAAAAAAAAAAGGGTACAGATGCTTGCTGAATGCAACCAACTGCTGTATCCACAGCTGAATTCAATGCGCTTAACAAATAACGGCAATTTAGCTATGCTTGCGAGGAATAGCTTGAGTCACTTTGCATTAGCATCTGGCTGAGTGTTAAACTCATTTCTACGTGGGGAGCAGAGAAAAGGAATTTCTGTTCAAGCATCCTTTCAAGAATGTTTAAATATTTGAATATAAATTCCTTTATGCTTGCTATCATTCCTTCTTTAGAACTGTCACGTTGCTTTCCCCCTTCCTTTTGGTGCTTAGCTATAAAAATGTGCCCTTCTCAGGACACCAATGTCATACGTCTTATGTTGTAAGACTGCAAGGGATGTATACTGATCTCTCCTTTGCTCTCCCCTCTGGACACACAATAGAATTGAAATCATTTCTCCATCCTTAATTTTTACCATATTAGGACCAGGGAAAGAGCAGTTGTGACAGGATCACCCATACATTTCACCTTCACTATGCAGATTGCCAGCTTCTTAGTGATTATACATCAAACTCCACATAAAACCTGGGAAACTAGAAAGCTATCCAAATTAGCAATCTGCTCATTCTGGACAATTCTGTTTGACTCATAAGCTTCCTATTATGATTAACTTTCCAGTTATTGCTAAGTAGCTGATCATTTTTTCTCTTCTCTACTGGATCCATTTATCTAGAGGATTCTGTAAAGAGGACTGGGTAACATTTTAAAATTTCAATTTAAAACATATCAAATATTCCAAAAGTACATAATTCTGAGGATTTTACAACTTATAATATTTTTCTATAAATTTCAACTTATAATATTTTTCTAAATAAAACACCATGTATGCTTAGACAAAAGGGCTTGAAATCATTGTCTCTCAAATTCAGAAGTTTCACTGGCCTTATTTATAATACAAATAATGTCAAAGTTTTTAATAAGTACATTTTGTTTTATAATAAAGTCAAAATTTCCAGTCATGAACTCATCTAACACTTGACAGTGCTTTATGCTGGAAACATATTATGACAAGCTCAGGATCCTAAATACTTAGAATATGAGCATGGATATCATCCAAGCTTATGCTGATTAAGGAAGATTCAGCATTTCAAATCCAGCTCATCCCCAAATACAAGTTAAGCATCTCTGAAAAGCAAAACTTTTAGTCAGACTCAGATATTTCAAATGCCATTTTGTTTTAATACAGGCTGGTGGCGTAAAAGGGGATATTCATTGTCCATAAGGTTTGGAGATGGATCAAGAGAATTATAACTCTTTCTATTTCCAGATGGTTTTGTTTAGGAAGGTGATGAGGCCGTCTATATTAATGGAGGGAGAAAAGGGACAGAGAATCATTCTGAGGATGATAAGAAGATGGAAATATATATATATATATATTTTAAAAAGCATCAGGCGATTTAATTAAGTATTTCTAGAAAGTAAGTTATGTTATGAACTGACCTTTTCTGTCCGGCAGTTATTGAGACCCAGACTGTTCACAACAGCCACCTTCCCATCAAGCACCTGTTGTTCCCGTCGAAGTTGCTCCTTCATTTGCCGAGCTTCTTGGATTGCCTTGGTGACAGCATCATGGTCATTTAAGTAACCTGAACATGAGACAGATCAAAGGATATCTTTTGTATAAATGCATGTCTAGGCTAGCCTGTAACCATAAAAATCACTTCTTTTCTTGGTAACAGCTAGTGTCCGGCCTATAATGATTTCTCCATGGGATTTATCTAAAATGAATGAATGAATAATTGACAATGACTGATTCATATAGTCATACATAAACATGTTTCCAATATGTTCAAATATCTGTAATAAAAATATAATACCTAAGTGAAATATGGTTGTTTCCAACTATTTCGAAAGAAGTTGAAGATGTATTTTTTAAGTAAATGCTTTAGTTATTATTCGAATATTATTTTGTAGTGCAAATACAAAACCCACTTTTAATTTTTTTTTTGCAAGGAACTTTTGAATTTTAGCACAGGATTTAGGTATTCATAATTATAACTATGATTATTGAGTCTCTCCTAGTATTAGAAAGGCCACTTAAGAGGGTCTGTATACCACTATTAGGTTTGTTATATACAGAAGAAATAAATCATTACTAACCGACTGAAGAGCATTTTCTTCCTAAAAATCCATTAATGGTGAAATAAACCACAGGTGGCAGTGGTTTGCTATGGATGCAAACTTGTAATAGTTAGGCTAAATTTCAAGTACAGAATGTAACCAAGCACCTGTAATTGTTTGATAAGAAATTGTGGCTACTCTTAACTATAGTCACACTTAATTCACACTCTTAATAAGATGGCCAAACGATCAGCTTATGCATGCAACTCCACAGTCCATGGTTAGTAATATACACTACCAAAATATTGCTTTTATAGAATAACAGATGTAACAACCAAAACTAATTTTTATTTAATTTTACTTTTAACACTGATCATTTATTTATTTGATGCATATTAGTATGATGATCTGCATTATATTAGAATAGAATACTGACGGAAAAAAGATTGTTTTGCAAGTATTTAAAGAAAAGCTGATATCTCATCTTCCTCTCTCCCTATCTTTTAACTAGGGCATAAAATGGCATAAAATGAATCTGTAATATGAAATTGCCCAGAAAAGGGACTTGTTTGTGACACGAGGCTAAATCTAACCAGATCCATTGGTGAATTGTGACAGATGGAGGGACTGTGAGACAGAAGGCAGGCACTAATCACACATAAAATGACCGGCTTGCCTCAACATGTTCCATGGATTCCAGCAAACTTTACACCCTAATCCATTTTTAGAACAAAAAACATCTGGGCCATAAATCCTCTAATCTGCCAAAACACGCTATTAAATCCCATGATTTGTTGAAAAACACTAAGATTAAAGAAAGGAAATATAAAATGGCTAACTGCCGTGTTAGGAAAGTGTTATTAATACTCTTTGTCTCAATTATGAATGTTCTGGTACTAAGAGCCTTGTCTAATCACGTCAGATTACACATCCTTGTTGTATTGCTAGACTCTTCTATCTGATCTGCTGATTGCCAAAAAACAGAATATTTTCTTGCTGCTTAAACGTTTCTATTGAAGAAACTGATGTCAGAAACTGATGCAGTACTTCAGTGCTGGCAGGTTTCTAAATGATCCATGCCTTTCCCCCTGTTACTATGCGCAGAGTAGACCTGGTCCTCTGATCTCCTTGAGGCAGAAAGAAAAGTTCCAGTGTAGGCGATAGAAAAGGGAAGCTTGAGAGTGATTATATATTTTGCCTTTCAGAGCTAAATTCATTGGAACTTATTCAAAGAACAAAACATCTCTGCTCATTATAAACACAACAGTGAATTGAAAACAACTCTAAACCTAGAACAGATCTTCAGGGCTAATATTTACTGTAAAAGATGGTTGTATTTTATTATCCTCAACATCCTAATTTGGATCTCCTGTACATCATTCTTAATGTATAATTCTTGAACTTGTTCATGAACAATATTACTCTAGATAGAAATACAACTCTTACATGACCGTGACGGTCTTGGTATATGTTCATTTAGTAAAATCTTAAGAGGATCAGTCTGATTTTCCTATGCTCTAACCCCTGTTTATACGCAACCTGGCATCATACATTTTTGTAGTCTATTTAGCTTCTATGTAGTCTAATTAGCTTCTCCAGAACACAAATATATTTGAAATGGCTTGGCACATGGCACTGAATAAAAGCATGAATTCTTTATGCTTTTTAGGGACTGCCAAGATAACATTGTGTAGGAAAAATGATTAATATAGATGCAAGAGGAATGTAAATTATTATGAGGGGGAGTAACTGACAGACCTATGTTCTGTAATGGTTATTTCCAATTTGAGATGTGTGTTTCTGTGCAGGTAGAAATAACTGTTCACTTTAAAATAAACATTCTTGCTTTTAGAGACTCTTGAGTTTTAGTTATAATGCTATATGAAATGTTAACATTTGTCTGCTATGTTAAATCATAAAGCCATTTATATATGACAACATTCAATCTTAATAGGATTGTTTGCTGGTTCTTTACAGTTTGTTCTCCTCATAGTCACCAAATCCTTAACCCTGCTGACGCCGTCTCTCTCAGCAAATGGCCTTGCCTCTGATTTTGCAAAAAGCAGTAAGACTGAACTCTCACCTTCCTGAGCCTACCCACACTCTTAGCTTCTGCTGCCTTCAAATTTATGTCCATTTATGCCTAGTTTGCTCCTCCTGTTTCAATAAAAATGGTCCCTTTGCTTTCAATCAAGGCAAATCTCCTAATAAGAGTTCTAGATTTCTATACTTCTTCATTGATTATTCTGTTTCTCATTTGTATCATCTATCTACTTGTCTCTACCCTCTCTACTACCTCAACCTGTAGATACTTAAGGTTCTCTTTTCTCCTACAACAAGCAAATAAAGTGTCTTCTTTAACTTTGTTTTGCCCTCTCTTTCCAACACTGTTTCTCTTTTTATCTTTGAAGTCAAGCCTCTCAAAGATGCATTATCTCATAATCTCCCATTCCCTCCCTACTCTCCAGTTCTCACTGCAATCTTGTTTCTGTTGCTATTGGTCTTTAGTTGTCGAATAAATCCAAAGGACATTTTCCATTTCTTGAGAGGGATGACAGCATTGACCATCCTCTCCTTATTGAATCTCATTTTAGCATTGTTCCTTTTTCCTCACTGCCTCTCCTCTGTGTTTGTATCCCTGCCTGGGACCCTTCCTTCACCTAATCCTTAGATTTTGATTCAAGATTCCAATTATTAGAAAAAGCCTGTGTTCTGGAGCTGGGCAAGCCTAAATTAAAATCCTAGCTTTGACACTTACTAGCTATATAAATTATACAAGGTGTTTTACTTTTCTACGTTGCAAGTAACTTTTGAGTAACTTCTCATAAGTTAAATAGGGATAACACTCACTAGATAACAGAAATGTCAAGATTAAGTGAGGTAATATAGTCTTTCATCATAATAAATGGTCAATGAAAGTTATTCAGTAACTGTCACTTTATAAAATGGCATAGTAAAATAAGTAGAATTTGGAAATTGGATTCAACTGGATCTGGGATTTCCAGTTCTTGGTAAGTGTGATATTTGACAAATTTTAATGCTCAATCTAAGTTTTCACTTCCCTTAACTACAAAATGAAGGTAAAGTTGATGGAAGAATTAGACGAAATAACACATGTGAAGGAGGAAATAGCACGTGGTATCTACAGAGGCAGGAAAAGATATTAGACTCCTTTCTTTACTCTTCACACTTTCATTTTCCCTATACGTTCACCCTTAGCACTCCTGTTAACATGGCTTTGACTATTATGATGCAATCTGTGAGGGGATGTCATTCCTTGGCTGGCACAGAGGTTCAATTAAATGGGCATCAGACCATAAAGGCCAAAGAGACACATAATGGCTATCTGATAGATACATTTTATTCTGCCTTCATTATAGATTCAAGCAACAATTGCATCTAAAGTCAGGATCAGATGGGAGGGCATGTGTATAGGAGAGGTTTGGTGAACCTCAGTCTTAAGAGGAAAATGAGATGGCAAAGGTCAATATAACTTCCAGTTAACATCTCAAATGAGATTTGGAAAATGTGGGTTAGAGTAAGAAATCTGTGAGATTCTGTAACTTTGTTAAATTCACTATAATTTTATTTATTTATTTATTTAGTTTTGAAACAAGGTCTCACCTAGGCTGGAGTGCAGTGGCATGATCATAGCTCACTGCAAACTTGAACTTCTGGGCTCAAGCAATCCACCTGCCTCAACCTCCTGAGTAGCTGGGACTATGGGCACTACTACCCCCAGTTACTTTTTAAGTTTTTGTAGAGATGGAGTCTTGCTATGTTGCCCAGGCTGGGCTAGAACTCCTGGATTCACACTATTCTCCCGCTTTGGCCTCCCAAAGTGCTAGGATTACAGGCGTGAGCCACCATGCCTGGCCTACAATTCGATGTTTTATGCTTCGGTGTTTCTTCTTAACCATTACCAAAAATATTCTCAAAATTTTTGTTTTTCTTAACTCAAAAGGCCCCTTATATATTTTTTCAGAGGCAGAAAAGAAGGGACAAACTAGAAAGTCTAATTTTTGAGGAGATCAACTCTAAAAGGAAAGAATTAGTAATGGCTGCTGTACAAGGAAAGAAAATAAAATACAAAACCACTTGTAATGGGTTGAATTTTGTCTGCCCAACAGATATATCCAACTCCTAAACTTCATTATCTGTGACTCTGGCCTCTCTTGAAAACAAGGTCTTCGAAGATGTCATTAAGGATCTCGAGGTGAGATCACCCTGAAATTAGGGTTGGCCCTAAATCCAATAACCGGTGTCCTTAAAAGAGGAGAGAGATTTGACCCATAGAAATAGGGGAGAAAGCCAAGTGAATAGGCAGGCAGAGATTGGAGTTATGCATCTATGAGCCAGGACTGTCTGCAGCATGGAGGCATGGAACAGATTCCCATTCAGAGCTTCCAGAAGGAACGAACCCTGCTCACACCTTGATTTCAGATTTCTAGCCCCCAGAATAGCAAGAGAATAAACTTCTGTTTCAACCCACCCAGTTTACAGTAATTTGTAATGGCAGCTCTAG